GGGCTGGCTTGTGGTCAGCCCTCTTCCCTTTGGGCCAGTGGGACGTTGGTCCTCGTGTGCCTTTCGTGCAAAAGGCTGTTTTCGGAGGGAAATGCCTGAAGCCTGCCTTGCTTCGAGCGCTGGGGGAGGTTCAAGGCCCTCTTTCCCCTCTGGGGATGGGTGAACATCTTTCCAGCGGGTGGGAAGCTCTGGGCTTCCAGGCTGGAGCGGCTCCTGTCCCGATCCTTTGCCGGGGCTCAGTGCGATCCTGCCTGAGGACACCGGAGCCCTGCTAGGGCAGCAGCCCCGGCTTTTGCCGCCTCTCTTCTGACCGGCGGAGGGGAAACTGAGGCATGGAGCAGTGAAGCAGCCCGTTCTCTCGGGATTCCTGCCCCGTGGCGTGGAGGCTGCCCCGCTTGCCTGCCGAGGCAAGCACATCTCTGTCATCCAGTTCTCCTCCCTTGCCGTTCCTGGGACTTTGTGCTGAGGACCAAAGCAGCCCCGGGTTGCAGCGGCAGCACTCTGCAGCCCCACGGCCCGTGTGAGACACCGAGGGGAGGATCCCGTCCCATTTTTCAGCGCCGCCGCTGGACTCCGTGCGCTCCCCTCCCCGCAGCCCTGTTGTGCAAGCTCGCCGCCCCATTCCGCTCCCGTGCCTTATAAGTCCCGGCTCCGGGGGCAGCCGCAGCCTCGCCGCATTCCAGCGCTCTCGCCTCAAGTGGCCCTGGCTGCATCGCGGTGCCCGGGACCGGGGCTCCGTGTCCCCCTCTGGCCTCGCTGGGGACCCCCGACACCAGGCAGGCACCCACTGAGATGCTCTCCCAAGGGGAAAAGCTGTGGTGCAGATCCCTGAGCTCCTGGCACCACAGAGTGCCTTTGGGATGCTGTGGCAGAGCTTGTCCCTGTCCTCAGCGTGGGGCTGGTGGCATAGGAAGAAGGCTCAGTGGACATATTGGTGGGAACTAGTGGGAAATGGCTCGTTTCTATGAAAAACTGCCATGAGACTGGAGTGGCTTCCTGGAGAGGGGGAATGTCCAACGGCACAATGCGGGCGAGGCATTAGTGTACATTCCTGCTGTACCTGTGCTCAGGTGTCTCTGAGCCACTGCTGTGCTGCAGGTGCTGGAAGTATGGATCTGAGACCAGGCCTGTTTTGGGGGCTGGAGTAGCCCGAGCTGTGCTGTGGGTGATGTAGTTAAAGGGCTGATCTCTCCAAAGGGGAGGGTTGGCCTTGCTGGCTCTGGGGGGGATTCAGACAAGTCTTCTAACAAAACAACCCCAGTCACTGCAGCCTCAGGGCATAGGTACCTGTGCCCTTGCATCAGACCCTTCTGACATAACCCTTTTTGGGCTGCAGAACAGCTCAGAGCTCTCTTTTGAGAGCTCTTACTCCAAACAGCTGTGGGAGCTGTGCTTGTCTCCTGGCACCTCTGAGGCTGTGGCAGCACAAGGCAGGTGCTGCTGCTCGCCTCCTTTACAGCCTTGGTGTGAAGCTCCTGGCTGGGCTGGCCCAAGGTGTGTGTGTCTCTCTGGGGAGATGCAGCTGTGCAAGGACTGACACTGAGAACTCGCTGCTAAATGGTTTGTCCGTGTCCCTCCTCCCCCTGCGTGGGAAGCTATGCTGGGATCCTCCCTCTCTAAGAGATGGCCTAGATGGTCTTGTCCCTCCTGGCATGAATCCTGTTTTCCGTGGCTCTCCTCCATCTTTATCAGGTGTTTGGACTGGGGACATCCCCAGAGGGGCAGGGATGGGGAAGGGAGAATGTTTTCTGCAGGGCCTGCAGCAGTGTGACTCTGCTGGGCCATCCTGGGTGAGAGCTGTTCCCTGTCCTGCTGCCGCCCATGCCCATGTGTCTGGTTCAGATCAGTCCTGGGCGGGATGTGACTGCTCTCACTGGCATCAGAGCCTAAGAATGAGCAGAAGAACATGGTATTCCTGGAGATCTGCTCCTGCTGGATGTCTGCACATGTAGTTTGGCCCAGGCAGTTCCTGATCCAGCCCTGGATGGACATTTTTGATTGTGGTTTGGTTTGGTGGTTTTTGTCCTGTGCCTTTTCCAGATGCACTGTGGGGAGGCTGGATTTGGTGTTGGGTGGCATGGACTTGAAGTAGGGCATGTTTTAGCAGAAGTTATCCTGTCATGGCATGTTGAGTATGAGGGCTGGATGCCTGGATTTGTCAGCCCTAGGTACTGACAGGGTGGTACTACTGGGCTCTCAAAGCCTGCAGGACTTGGGCTGACTGGAGAGTCCCACTTTGGTTAATCCACTGGAAGATGCTTCTCTGGATCCTGTTGCCCTCATCTACAGCTTCATCTCTTATGGGAGCAGGGGAAGAGGCTGGACCAGGTTGCCCAGAGTGCACGGGAGGCTCAGACTGGTGAGCTGCCTCCTGCTTTTCCCTGTGGGGTAACCTAAATCTCCTTTGCTTTATGCGTGGTGTGAAAGTGAGCTCCCTCTGGCTTAGCTCACTCTGTCCCTTAAAAATATTGCTCAGGTCTCTCACCAGCCTCACCCTCCCTTCACTGAATAACTTGGTCTCCCTCTTTCCTTACCCTTCTCTAGATCACTTATGGATGTGCTGAATTGCAGAGATCTGGTAAAACCAACTGCTTGGTCTTGTTGCTTCCAACAAGCTCTTCTGAGCAGGGACTTCTTAGTTTGTCTTGAGACCCTCTTTGGAGAGGTTGGCTGGTGGCATTTGGAATTGCCCAAACTTTGGGGCAATGGTGGCCCTTGCTGGGGGCTGTGGCTTGGCTTTCCAATGCCTTGTCAATGCTGTGGATGGTGACAAACAGGACTTGGAGGCCAAAAGGAAACTTCTGGGCAGTGAGAGGAGATTTCTTGCTCCTGTCCTTATGGGTCTGGCACTGGGAGCATGTTACCTCTGACAAAGAGCTTTCCTGGGCACCTGCCTCGCTGTGTTCAGGCTGATGTGAGGGCTCCAGCTCTGGCTCCCCTTCCCTGAGCCACCAGGCATCTTCCATCCTGTCACGCCTGTCGCAAGGACTTACCAAGTGATGCGTCACGGGGCCATTTAGAGACCCAACAGGGATGTGGATTTCTGTCTGCTCGGAAGAAAAATCCATTCTGGGGGCTGAGCGCACTTGGATCCTGAAATATTGAAAAGGGACAATGCTTTCACATGGCTGAGGCACATGTGTGCCACCACACTCTGCAGTCCTCCCCTGCAAGAGATGGCCGTGGGTCTTTTGGGAGCACACTGCGAGTGCTCTGTGGAGCTCATGCTGAAGTGCAAGCGCTGAGGTCTTGGAGGCAGCCAGCAAGCCAAGAAACAGTGGCATTGTCCCCTCTGTCCAGGCATGGGGTGGCCTTGGAGAGACGTGCCTTAAAGCACCAGATGTGGGGTGGGGTAGTTGAGGAACCTGTCAGACTGAGCCTGAGCTGGAAAGTGTTCCTGGAGTGCTCCACATGGCATCCTGCTTCCCAAGGCAGGGCAGAGCAAGAGTGTGTGGTAGAGCCATCCATATTGAAGGGTCAAGGGAGGGGATGGGAAGGGTGCTCTGGTTCTGCTCCTGAGCTGTGCTGGGCCAGAGAAGGGCTCCTCACACTAGTCTAGTGCAGGACAGTGGCAGCCCTTAGTCTCAGCATGCACAGGAGAACAGGAGCACCCCAAGCCTTTCACAATCACTGTTTATCCTGAGGGCTTTACCCTGGGAATGGCATCTTTCTTGGCAGGACTGTCCTGGGCACAGGAGCTCAAGGAGGTGAGTTTTCATGTAAGTAAGAGAAACTTCCCTGTGTTGTGGAGTCTCTATCTGGCTGCCCCCAAAGAATTACAGAGGCAGGGGCTCCTGTGTTTCCAGGTCTGCCTCCAGCCCAGGAGCAGTGCAAGCATATGTTGGTAAAAGTGGTTTTGGATACAGCTCACTCTGTCTGGAGAAGGGGAAATGGCTGAGCAAAACAAACCAGGGAGCAGAGCCCTTCTGTCCTGCAAACATAATGGGGTCACTCTGTGCTGGAAGCAGGCCAGGAGATGAGCTCTGGCTTGGGGCTCCTGCTCCTTGTTCATAATGACAAGTGTCTTCATTACTTTGGTTGTGCATAGCTTCCCTTTCCAGCTCTGTGCTGATTTACAAGAAGCCTCTGCAGCTTCATCGTGCTGCTTCCTATGGAAATGGTCTGCCAGCCAGTGTGCAGAGACAAGGTGCTCTTGATGAGTCTGTTGAGCAGAGGTCTCCCAGGCCATGAGCCTTCAGCACTTTCTTTTCCTGGTTATTCAGGTGAACTATTATCTATAATTTTAATGGATTATCTATTGAAATCCTCCCCTGGCACTGTGTTTTTTGCTTTGACATGAGTGTGTTTGGACTTGGTCCATGACTTGAACGGCCTAGGAAGAGCAGATGGCTACAGGGGCTTGGCCCAGCACAGCTGCTCTTGGCTGGGCACAGCAGAATAACTGCTCTGAGAATGGGTTTGGGAGCAGCTTCTGAAGGGTCTGAGTGTGCTGGGGAAGGAGCTGGGATGGGCCCAAAAATCTTCCTGCAGTGATATTCTGGGGCTGTTGCAGAAGTCAAGAGTTCCTAGTGGGGCAGTGAGATGTTTCTCAAAATTGAGGGCTGTCTTTGAATTGGTGGTGGAATTAAAGTGCCAGGGAAGGTTGAGGAGAGGAGATCTAGTATGTGATGTGGAAATAGGAGACCTAGAAAGATGTGGAGAGAGCTGGGATGCGTCAAACTTAGTTCTTGTGGCAGTGTGTGGTCTTTGCCAGTTTAGCCATCAAGGTTCTGTCAGGCTGTGGGGCTGGTGTCCATGCCTTCATCAACCCTGGCCATGATGCCAGGGACTGAATTTTTGTAAAGGCATCAATCCTCTGAGGTGGAGGTCAAAGGGCTGGGTGTGTTTTATCCTGGACAACACTCCCCTAATGCAGGGAAGAGTTAGTGGACCTTTGATGTGAGGTGTCCTGTTCTTAGTGCACTTCTGAGCTGTGCTCTGTGCTCCTGCTTGGGCACCAAACATCTCCTTTCAGTACAGCTCTTTGGCCTCTCCCCTAGGTACGGACGCTGTTTGTCAGTGGCCTTCCTGTGGATATCAAACCCAGAGAGCTCTACCTTCTCTTCCGACCATTCAAGGTAAGAACATCTTCAGATCTGGTTTTTGGAGGGACAGATGCTGTTTTGTGGATGACCTGGCACCAAAGGTCTGTCAGGGGAGGTAGGGATGACATGGGAGCCTGAAGCCAGCACAGGATGCCATGACTTGTGCTCAACTGGGAACCTCCAGCTGGAGCCTGCCATTGGAATCGTGCTGTCTCTAAGCTTGATGAAACCTGCTTGGTCAGCCCTGCTGCTCAGCTGGACCAGCCCTTCCTTGAGGATGTGTCCTCATCCCCCAAACTCCCCCTCCTTCTCTAATAACCACCTAGGCTGTCTCAGGGCAAGTGGGGTTCCCTTGTCTGCACTCCTCTAGCACAGGGAGGGTGCTCTGCTTTCTCTAGGCACTAGCCAGGGCAGGGTGCTCATCTTTGTAGCTGGATGAAGAGCTAGAAAATGGGATTCCTTCCCAAAGGGCCAGGATGGAAGAGCTAAAATACCTGCTCTCCCCCCAGTCTTCTCTACTGGTGGAAAAGAAGTGTTATTGTCCCTGTTTCTACTGTGGCCCTGCCCTGTGGAGGGCTTGGTCCTGCAGGAGCTCCTGGAGCTGTCGTGTTGTGTCTTGGTTGTAGCATGGCCTCCTCAGGAGCCTGACACTGACTTGCCTTCTTCTCTCCTGCAGGGTTATGAGGGGTCACTGATCAAGCTGACTTCAAAGCAGGTACCTCCTTCCAGCCTGTGTGTTTTTGGCTTTTGCTATCAAACTGGACATGCCAGGAGGGGAGAGGGGGAAGATCCCATTTCACTGTGTAGTGCACTGTGTGGGCCAGCACCCGCTACATAGCAGGGTTCTACTGACCCAGCGTGTTCTGAATGTCTCCATGTCTTCTCCTGCTGCCCTGGGTGAGCCCTGAGGCTTCAGCCCCAAACCTTGTGCTGCCTTCCCCTCTCCCATGCTGATCAAGACAGGGGTAGCCATGCTGGGGGCTTGTCAGAGTGAGCGGCGTCCCCACATGTAGGAATGCCAAAGCATTTGTGGTGGAGCAGATGCAGAGCAGGAATCTTGAGCCAATGACCCAAGCCCTGCTTGAAGCCCCTGTGCAGCTTAGGATGCTCTCTTCTGCTGGTTGTCTGGGGTGGCAAGGCAGCCTGAGGAGCTGGAAGAATCTTCCAGACTGAAATGGGTGTTGTTTCTTTTAGCCAGTGGGTTTTGTGACCTTCGACAGCCGGGCTGGCGCTGAAGCAGCCAAGAACGCCTTGAATGTGAGTACCCAAAATGCTGGGGGCTGAAGGGGCTGGGGACCACGTGCCTTGCTGGACCAAAGCTGAGGGCAGAGACAGGCCAGGGTCCTCTACCAGCTGTGCTCTGGAGTGTGGAAGTGAAATGGTCCTGCAGCATCCCACCAGGGAGGCAGGAGAGCTGTTCAAGGCTGACATCAACCTGGGCAAATGGATGCAAGCTGTCTCTATGTAGTTTTTGACCACTGGAAGACCTCTCTGAGGGTGTGGGGACCTGCTGTGACTCAGTAAAATATCTTGAGGATGGTCAGCATGGAAAGGACACCCAAAATGATCCCCATCCTGCAGGAGTGTTGGTGGGATCTGGTCAGCAAGGCATGGTTCTGCTGTGCTGTACACCTTGCTTTGGACTTTTTGACACCTTCTAGTGCCTCTGCTCAAGCTGGAAGAAGGTGTAGATGGGAGCTCCCACACAGATGGGGGTTATTCCAGCTCCAGTGTAGACAGTTACCCCAGCTTCAGCAGACAGACCTTTCCTGAGCCGTGCTGGTAGCCATCCCTGCTGTAGTGGTTGGTGAACTGCACATAAGGAGCAGAACTCTGTCCCTCCTGTTGGAAACAGTGGTCCTGGGTCTAACGTTGGTCCTGGCCAGATAAATGTTAAAACAAAAGCATGTGGGAACTTGAGTGTTGCAGTGAGGTGACGAAAATCTGGGCATGTGACTGCAGTGTGGTGGCCTTGGTTCCTCAGTTGGCCTTTGCTCCATGAATAACCACAGCCTGTGCTTGGGCTGGAGCTTCACCTCTGAGAAACCCCTGTGCTCTCTCTTGTGACAGGGCATCCGCTTCGACCCCGAGAACCCCCAGACCTTGCGGTTAGAGTTCGCTAAAGCCAACACAAAGATGGCCAAGAGCAAGCTGATGGCCACACCGAACCCCACCAACATCCACCCTGCCTTGGGTGCACATTTCATTGCACGGGACCCCTGTGAGTATGCTGGGAGGGGCTTGGAGGTCATGGCCTCCAAGAGAGATGCACAACTCTGTGAATGCTGCCACAGTGGAAAGGAGCCCAGCCTCACCTCTGCTCTGCCTGAAATCTGCCAGGGGCAGGGAGGCCAGTAGGATGTTGGAGCCACAGTAGGATGTTGGAGCCACAGGAGAATAACAGGCAGCTGGGCAACATAGAACTGTTGAGACATGAAAGTTGGATTTGGTAGCTCAAGTGATACTATAAATCTTTTAAAGCATCCCTGAATGTGAGCATAAGGGATGAGTCCTGTGCCATCATCCTCTGTGTAGCCTGGTGGGCTGAGTAGCCCTGCTGAGGCTTATGGGGTGACCTGTAATGTGGCTCTGAGCCCCCTGTCCTGCATCCTGTGGCACCGCCCTTCTGCTGCCTGTGTGGACCAGTGTCCAAAGCCCACGTAGGGCTGTAATGTGACACATTCCTGGGTTCTTCTGTCGAGGCTGGGAGGCTGGAGCAGCAGCTGTGCACACAGATTTTATACCTGATCAAGACTGCAGCGCAGAGCTTTAGCCTGGGGTGGGGAATCCGGAGCCTGTCCCCAAAGCAGGCTGTTGGGACCAGTACTGGAACGCTGTCCCCTTGTCTCCCCGTCCTGTCTAGATGACCTGACTGGAGCGGCTCTCATCCCAGCGTCTCCGGAAGCGTGGGCTCCCTACCCCCTGTACACCACGGAGCTGACCCCTGCCATCCCCCACGCCGCCTTCACCTACCCGGCCGCAGCTGCCGCGGCCGCCGCTCTTCACGCTCAGGTGAGTCGCTCCCCACCTCCCGTGCGGGGCTGGGCCCTCCTGTCTCCCCGCCACGGTGCTCCCATTCCCGCGGGCTCCGCTTGGCCAGTTCGACCCTGGCCTCTGCACCTTGGCTCCTGGGCAGAGCTGCTCCGGCTGCAGGGCAGCCCGAGGAGGGCTCTGTGCAGCCCAGAGCAGGCAGAGCTGCTGGTGGTTTCTGACCCTGCACGTCCAGCCTGCTTTCCTACAAGGGGCAGGCCAGTGGGAGGAAGTCAGGGCTCGATTTCTGGCTGGTCCTGTTGCTCCCCATGGCCAGATAACTACACTGAGGGACTGCTGGGAGGAAACACTTCCTGCACGTAACATGCCTATGAAATGTCATCCCAAGTCACAGCAAAAGCAACGGGCTTAGTTCTGTGCTAAATTGAGGGGCTCAGCCTAATGACTCAAACACTTCCAAAGCTGGAGGAGGGTGTCCTGCAGGAGATAAGTGACTAGAGCCTTGCCAGAGTGAGGAATTGTGATGGAGCAGGGTGTTAGCCACCCTCGGTACAGGCTAGTGAGGAGAGTCATTCCCTGCAGGAGCCTCTGGAAGCACAGATGGTGGTGCAGCCAGCTGCCTGGTGTCCCCAGGTTTGCTTGCTGACAGTTGAGGATGTAGGGATGCCTGTATGCTCTGACACGGATGCTTTAATGTACAGAGACCACATAAACCCTGAAACCATGAACACGCAAAGGGAAGGTCAAAACAGAGTAGCAGGGTCCTAATTCCAAGCTAAGGTGCTTGGTTTGAAGCACTTGTCCAGGAGAAGCTGGAACCCCTGTCCCTGCCCTGCTCAGTGTGCCCAGCCAGCTGTGCTCTGCCTGCTTCTGTGTCTGCTCCCGTAGTGGTGCCATGGGAGATGGGGCAGTGGACTGAGCGTTGGGGCTTAACCTCTGCTCCCTGCCCTGCCAGGCAGGATGCTGACTCCTACTCTTCCCTGCTTAAATGGAGAGCAGGAGGAGCTGTGTCCTCTCACACTGCCATCCTGGCTGGCAGTGAGCTGTGTTGGCCCTTGGATGTCCTGTTGCTTCCTGCAAGCTTTGTGATGGTAACTGCCCAGCTTCAAGCCAAGCTTGCTTCCCAAATGCCATGTGGAGTGGATGCAGACTCCTGTCCTCTGTCCTGCCCCTCTCACACCTGCACATCTCTCCTGCTTCTGCCCTTCTACAGGTGAGCTGTTGTTGGGCTGAAGCTCCAGAGGGGTAGGGAGAAGTTCATAGGGGTTCAGGACAGGACCAGGAAGAGCACTAGAATGTTCTTCCAAGGACCTCCAGAGCCAAGCTGCTTCTTCACTAGGAAGGTTGTGCTTGCTGGTGTTTTCCAGAAGTTGGTGGTGGTGGCCACAACTACAAGGCTGTGCTGTGCTCCTCAGTGGCCCAGGAGAGCAGTGTCTTCCTGCCCCTTGTGTGTGTAGGGTGGTGGTCAAGGTTGAATTGTCCCTGGAAGGGAGGACCAGGAAAAATCAACCCCTCTGGCCTGTCTGAGGTGAAACTTTTACTGCAGTTTCTTCCAGGGTGGTCACTGGTGACTGTATAGGGACCCTGAGTGTGAGGGTTAGACACCCACACTTTATGGTGCAAAGTTGAGGAGAAAACTCTGCTCTTGTAGAGTGGAGGGTATTAAGGAGTCCTCCAGCTACATCTTTTCCCTTTGGGGTCTCAGTTCCTGCCCTCCAGCTAGTGAGCTACTGGTTTCCAAAGAGGTTGTCTGGCCTCATCAGAAGACCCTGAGGAGCTCCTTGTGTAGGTAGAGCTCCCTGCCCAAGGGGTCCATGGGTGGTGATGGGCTCAACCCTTAGGGAGCCAGTGCAGCCCCTCCAGGCAGTGCCTGGACCCAGCTCTTTTCCAGGGAGGCTGCTGGGCAGTCCCAGCTGCTCCTGGCTGTGCTGAGCCAGTGCTGACCCTGCAGGGGCATGTCCTGGCACAGGATATGTTACCAATAAAATTTAGTGGGGTTAAACATTACTCCTGCTGGCAGCTCTGGGCTGGAGCCCTGTCCCTTGCAGAGCTGAGGGTGGAGCACAACAGGGAGATGACTTTTGCTCACAAACTGGGCTGAAATCTGTGCCCTTAGTCCCCGTGTGCTGAGCCTTCTGCCCTCACTGGGAGGGGCTGGCTCACTCATGTGGTGGGCTTATGGGTTATTCCCCAGAACAGTCACAGTTCTTCCTCCTGGTGGACTGGTGTTGGCTGGAGGGCATCCATGGGGATGGCCAGAGCTGTAGCAGCTCCACAGTGATCAGCCTTGAGGCAGGCAAGAAACTGGAGGATGTAGCTAAACCAAGATCTTGTCAAAAGAGATTTAAACCTGAAGGGCTCGTCTTCTTGCAGAGCTGAGTTCAGCATCGGGGAGAGGAGGTGGCCTGGCCTCCTGAAGAGCTGCCCAGAGGGCTGGCAGGAGGGATGAGGGGCAGGAGGTGGTGAGAGGCTGGCCTGGCCTCGGGAACCCTTGGTAAGCCACTCCCAGCCGATGGCTGCTGCTCCTGGCCCGTCCATGCCTTGGCGATGCTCCGGGCAGGCACCAGGCTGCTGCAGCTGTGACTGTAGCCTGACCCTGCCCTGCCGGGGACTCTGCTGACTTTAAGATTGCCCCATCTGCCTTCCCTCCCTCCCACCCTCTCTCAAATCCCTCCTTTGATGTCCCTAGTGAACTCCAGCCATGATGCCAGCGCAGGCTAGCCCCGAAGCTCAGAGCTGTCCCTGGAGATGGGACGCCCTAGTGATGCCTTATTGCAGCTAGTGGAGTGGCTGTACTACAGCTCCATTCCTAGAAGTGTTAAGCATGATGGCATCCACGTCTGGAAAGACTGGTAAGGTAACCATCTCTCCTCCAAGGTGCACTGTGGGATTTGCAAGCTTCTGCCCATCTCTGTAGCCCGTATCTCCTTGGCAACCCAGTGCATGGGCCTCACGCTACCCACCCACCAGAGCCTGGGGAATGAGATGCCAGGCCTTCTTTCTAACCCACATCTCCAACTTGGCAGCACATGACATGGCGCACACAGCATGGCACCATCTTACATCAGCTCCTCCCAGCTGAGCCAGGCTCGGCCAGGCCCTGCCCGTGGGAGGGGAGCAGCCCGGTTGAGCTGGGGCAGAGACCACCCTGCCACTCGGCCTGAAAGAAACCTGGTTTCTCCCCAACCTTGACCCTTCGAGGGCAACCAGAAATACACCTTGACCTCACTCCTGCACACGGTGGGGGAGGTGAGTGACGTGGTAGTTGATAGCACACGACTAAATTTTAGTGGGCACCTTAGACAACAGCACTTGCCGGTCACTTTGTTCCAGAATCGCATACCGGGACAGACCCTGCCCTAATCGTGGGTCTAATCTCACTGCTTTCCTCTCTGGTAATGGAAATGGAGCCAGTTCCTACCTGGAGCTTGACTTCTCTCCTGCAGCCTGAAATCACAGGCAGGACACAGGTTGTGTGAGCTGTAATGGAGGGAATCAGCAGCCTTGGGAGAGAGGGCTGTGTGGTGTAGGAGGCTGGGAGCTTGGGAAGAGGGAAGGGTCTGGGACTGGTTGGCAGGGGGATGGTTGGTGTTTGACTGAAGAAAATGAGCCCTGGTTCAGTTCTCCAGCAGTGGTTCTGAGCAGACCTTTTCCTCTCTCTGTGGAAGAGATGATAAGAAAAGAAGCCACCAAAGATGAGGGCCCAGGTCTGCCTTTGCCCTTAGAAAACTGTGAGGTGCAAAGATGTGCAGAGTTATAATTTTCCCTCCTGGGACAATGGAAAGAGCTTGACACAGGCATAGAGACAATGGTACAGCTTGTCTTGTTCTGCTTGGTCCTGGTGGGCAGGTCCACCCATTGCTGGTAGGATGGAGTTGGGCTGCATTGTGTCTCTGAGGTGGAACCACTGGTTTTGGGGTGCCTCTAAACCAGGCTATGAGTGGGCAGGAGGGGATGCCAGGGCTATTCATGCTTCTAGAACTCTTTTGCAGAGATGCTTCCACCTGTGGCAGCACCCATGAGGGCAGGACTCTGCTCTCAGCAGGACTTGCCATGGGAAGCAGGTTGGATGCGGGATTGGCTCATAAAAACATGGTGTTTCTGGGGACACAGCTGATGTGTTGGGTGCCTGGAGTCCCTGGCAGGTGTTTCCAAGGCAGTCAGCCAGGTCAAAGCCTGAGGGCATAGAGATGCCAGTCTTTTTGGGAGGGGGCTGCCCAAGGTTCCCTTGAAGCATCCACTGGAGACCTTGAGGAGATGGCAGAGGTGGGTCTCTGGCTCTGGGACCTGTCAGAGTGAGTGGTGGGTGGAGGGAGCAGTCCTGGATCATGGCTGTGTGGTTGTGCAAGAGCCTGGAAGGACCTTGGGACTTCCTGGTGCTGGGTTGAGGCTGATCCCATTGATGAAAGCAGAGGTTGGTTCCAAACCCCCTTTCCCTTGCAGCTAAGCTGACAGACCCACCCTAGACTGGAGACAGGATAAATTTTTTGTCCCTAATAACTTGTTGCCTGTTGGTGCTGTTGTGTAGGGACTTCCCAGGATTATTTCTCTCTGGGCAAGCTCCATGCTTCCCAGAGATGTGAAGCCTCTTGTTCAAGATGTTCATGCTTGTGGTAACTTTCTAAACTCCAGTAATTTAGAGGTGGCATAGCTGGCCAAGCAGCCCCAAGCCAGCAGTTCCCTCCTAGCCAGGGGAAAAGCAGGCAGGAGATGCTCTGAGCATCCTCCAAGCAGAGGATGCCCCTGAGCAGCTGTCCTGGCTAAGTGGTGGGACTGATGGGCCATCAGAAGAGACTTGTGGCCAACAGTGGCTCTCCCTGGCTGGCTCAATCCAAAAGAAAATAACACAACTTGCTGTAAAAAGGGAAATGCTTGTTTGCTGCAGTCTCAGAGAGGGGTGTGTCTCCCTGAGCCATAGGGGTGCAAGGCGTTGGACTGATGGATAGATGCATGCCTGTTAGAATGTTCCTGAGAGGATGGATCAGTGCCTGTCCAGTCCCACACGTTCCTTGCCCTGGTGTGGGATGGTGTGCTGTGCCTCCAGCTCTCCCTCCCCAGAGCTGCTTGGGGAGATGCACGGGCTCGATCCCACTGCATCTGGTTTTCCTGGTGGTGGGCTGAGCTGCTCTGGTCCCACACCTCATCGTGCCCCCACACAGGTGAAGTGGTGCCTGTGCTGTGTGTCCTTGCCTGCCTGGGTCACATTCCATGGGCTGTGTTTCCCGAGGGAGCAGGGCAGCTCTCGCTGCTCAGTGGGGGCTGCCCAGGGCTCACAGCCGGTGACCTGCGGTGCTGCTCTGCACTTGAGCAGCTTGGCAGCAAGATGCAGCTCTTGGATGTGTTAGCTGGATCCTACCAGCTCCCAGGAGCACAGGGAGTGCTTTGTGTCTGCCTGCACCAGGAGTGGTCCCTGGGATCATTCCAGCTAGAGATAGGTCAGAGCTCTAAGGTGCTGGGGCTGGCTGCAGACCAAGAGGTAACTGAGGAGGAAAGACAGGTCCTCCAAGTCAAAGGTGCTCTGAGGAGGGACCTGTGTACTTGGTCCTTGCTTCCCCTCTTCTGAAGGATTTGCTCTCCCTGAGGATGGTGGAGAATTGGATACTTAAATTCCGAGGGCAACTGGGAGAGACAAAGGAGGTTTTGACAAGGAGAGTGAAGCTCTGATAAGCTGTTTCTCTGCCCCGTTTATAATTTCATTGTGACTTTTAGGCAGCTGCTGGTGTTGTGCTGCAGAAAGGGAGAGGTTCCTGGCCTCTGGGAGGTGGCAGGCAGAGGCACATGTTTCTCCTCTCCAGCTGTTTCTGGGAGAGATGTTGAAGGCAGCAGCATGAGGCTGCAGCAGTTGGCCAGCAGTGGCTGCCTCATCCCTGTGAGCAGGAGATGTGTTGGTGGTGTGACCAGACTCCTTTCCAATTGTGAGCTAATGCCTCTCCAGAAACAACAATGTCTCTTCCAGTAAAAGCCTCTCTTGTCCTGCTTTCCTCACCCAGTGCTGAACATCCCCATTAGTTCTCAGCTTCCTCCTTGACAGATGTAGTATTTTGAGGGGTGTGAAGAGAAAACTGCCTTGGCAGGTGCCTAGAGAGTGTCCTCTTGGCGATCTGCTGCTTCCAGTGTTTTCTGCTGGCTTTGGGAACCTCCCTCCTACTGAGTTCCTGCCTCATCCCATCAAGCCCTTTATCCTTCCGTAGGCTGAAAGGCCTGGCAGGTCATTCCCTCACCCTGCCAGCATGTCAGGGCCTTGGGTTGCACCCAGGATTGTCACGTCTGTAGCAGCTCCTGCGGGGCTCCAGGCTGAGCCCCTCTGAATGCAGGGCTGGGCTGGTGGCCTGTGGGGCCACGCTGGGTCAGGCTGGGTGGGTTTGGTGTGTGAGCATTGTAGAGCTGCAGGAGGAAGGCAGGGAGGGGTGGTCCATTGCAGTGATGGTTTATTAGCACCAGAGCTACGAACAGTGCATGTTTTAGGAGAAAAATCGGACTTCTTTTCACAGTGGAGGTGCTGAGGCTCTGCAGGTGGGCCAGAAGGTGGCTCTGAGGCTGGGATGGAGGGCCACCAGGCTGGGCTGTACTGGCTCCTGTATGGCCTGGCTGGGCTGCGTGGGGTGGAGGCAGCTCTCAGGGTTAAGCACTCACAGCCTTGTGAAGGAAGGGGGAGTTTCCTGTTACTGCTGGGCAGGAGGAAACTGCTTCCAGCTGTCGAGGGGAGGGCTGTGGAGTGGGAGACGCTGGCCAGGGAGGACAGGACAGCTGCAGAGGAGATGTGGCTCTGCTGAGCAAGCACCTCCTGGTGACAGGGGACAAGAAACCCCTGTCCTTGCTCTGGCAGCTGCTGTGGGGGCCCTGCAAGCTGTCAGTGGTGCTGCTGCCCATGCCAGGCCTTCCTGGGTGGTGTCTGTGCACAGAGTGGTGGCCCTGGCTGGGCAGGAAAGGTCCCTCTCCCAGGCTAAAGGAGACGTGAAAAGACACTCAGTGTGGCACTTTGGTGCTGGCACTAGGTGGGACCCCTCCCTGGGGAGGAGGGTCTTGCTAACCTCCATGCCCTTGATTCCCATGGCTGGACTGACTGGATGCTGTGCCATGAAGTGAGGTGTGGGGCCAGCTGGGAGCTAATTTAGTGGCACGCACTTGCCTTGTGAAGGTGTCAGGCAAGAGTCTAGCAGATTATGGAACCATGGAATGGTTCAAGTTGGAAGGAACCTTAAACCAATCCCATTCCATCCCCATGCAGGGATATCTTCCACTAGAGCAGGTTGTTCAAGTCTTGTCCAAACTGGCCTTGTTCTGAGCTGATGAGAGGCACCTGTGAGGACAGAGCTTCTGCTGCCTGGCAGGGCTCATTTTGGAGCCATCTCCTGAGAGGGACTCAAGGCCCATAGCTCGTGTGGCTGCACTTCCTGGCACTGCAGCCCCAGTGCCTCTGCGGGAGAACTCGGCTGCTGCAGGCAGCAGTGCTGGGGTTGTGGCAGTTTGCTGCACATCTCTGCACATCCTTGGGAGAGGAGCATCCAGCCAGGCTTGTTTGGGAGGGGACATCTGTGCCAGGATGAATGGGACACATGAGGCTTCAGGTGGTTTTCTGCCACTTTTCTCCCCATCTTAGAACCAAGTCCATCACTGTGCTGGTTCCCAGAGCCCTGAACGTGCTGAGGCTGTGCTTCTCTCCTGGCAGCTGAGGAGGGAGGAGTGGGGGGTGGTTGCTGTGCTCCAGCAGCAGGACCAAGTTCCAATTGCTGCTGCTGGATCCGTGCTCAGTGAAGTGGCATGGGCTTGTCTCCTGCTGCGGTCAGGCAGGGAGCTGCTGATGCAGCCCAGCCAGACACACTGGCCCTGCTGACCAGATGGGATCATCTGGATGTCTCAGGCTGGGCGTTGCCAGCTCCCTGTGTCTCCTAAGGGGCTGGAAAGTGTCTGTTCAGCTACTGTCCCTTGTTTGCTTGTTAGCTATCCAGCCCTTTCCTTGGCAAAGAGCAGGTCTGAGAAATAGATGTGGCAGCAAGCACCTGCTGGGGAAGCCTCCAAGTCTTGCTGGTTTGCAGCTCTTCCAAGTTCTTCCCATGGTGTGGTTTGCCTGGAGCCACTCCTGGTAGCAGAGTTGGGGCTTGGAAAACTCCATGGGCATCTGCTGTAGTGGATGAGACACTTCTTCCCCCGTACATGTCCTGTAGAGGTTGTCTGGTTTTAGTGCGTGGTCTAGAGATGCCTCCTTTGGCTGGCTGAGAGTGGAGCTGTTTGAGTAGTATTTGGAGCTCACCCTGGAGCCTCCTATCCCATGCTGGAGACACCTTTGCTCCGGGGACCTTGCACATGGCTTGAAGGAGCTGAAGGTTTGTACTCTGGCTGAGGTAATCCTGGATCATGGACCTCTGCCGTGGCTTTCTTTTCCAGATGCGCTGGTATCCTCCCTCTGAAGCTACCCAGCAAGGATGGAAGTCTCGTCAGTTTTGTTAGTTCATTAGTAAGTAATTAATTACTCTGGGAGTCAGGTCTTTGTCTTGCTCTTCCTTGGGCTCCTTGCACTCTTGGGGGGAGGAGGGATGGGAGCTTGGGCTCAGCCCCACACGCCCACCCAAGGATGTGGTTGGGTCTCCTGGACGGGAGCAGGGAGACCCCCAAGCCAAGCCAAGCCCTGGGCTGGGGCAGAGGCCGTGGGGGACCCTCAGGACACGGCTCCAGCTCACCGCGCTCCTCTCCCGCAGCGTCTCTCCTCGGCTCGTGTTCCTCCTCCCTGCCTCTCCGCAGAGGGAAGTGCCAGGGACGATTTCCTCCTCCCTGCCTCTCCGCAGAGGGAAGTGCCAGGGACGATCGCTCCGGCTCCTCTGGATTTGGTACGTGGCCAGAGGACAAGGTGCCTGGCCCCGCCGCGCTGCCCCCGGCGCTGCCAGCACCCCTTTCCCTGGACTGTGAAGCCATCGTGGCCCAGCCATGGGCTGTGCGCTGCCTCCACCCCTCTCTCCATCCCTCCCTCAGGCCATTCCCAGGACCTCCTCCCTGCCTGAGCTTTGCCATCCGGCTGCACTGAAACCCAGCCGGGGGCCAGGTCCTGGGCTTCCCCAGGCTCTCCCTGCTCCGGGGGCAGCTCGGCTGAAGGAATCGAAAGGCAAAATGGGTTTTGCATGTTTTCTGGCATGAATTAAAACACTTAACTTGTGTCTGTGTGAGTGTAAGTTTGTTTGTTCTAGCGTTTGTGTAACCGTTAGCAACAGGTCTTGGCCCAACGGATTGATCCATCAAGGTTTTCTTCTTGCTTTGGTGAAGACTTGGCTTTGAGAAATACTAACTGTCCTTGTCTCACCCCTTCTCCCACCTCCACCCTTCCCTCCCTAGGATGACCAGAAAAATTTCAAAAATGCTTTTTTTTTTTTTTTTTTTCCTTTTTTTTTTTAAAGTATGATGCACTGGGTTTTTGTTCTCATCCATTCTGCTTGTTTTAAAGTCAGGGTTATTATATTATTTTTTTCCTTCTTCAAACTTCTATATATAGAACAGCTGTAAAATATCTAACCTCTTTTTTTTTTTTTTTCCCACATTCTTCTGATTGGAGAGCATCCAGTCTTGCCAAATAATCAGCCATCCTTATGGGAATACCGAACAAAAAAAAAAAAGTACGAGTATTTTTGTACCATGTGTAATAAGGAAATATTTATGCATCATAAAGAATTTCTTGTGTGTTTGTGTGCAATTAATTATTATTATTATTAAAGAGAAATTGTAATCCTGTAAGATAAGTTAATGTTTAGTTAAAAGCTTGAAAAAGAAGGGTTGTCTTCTGTACCAATGATTCAGTCAGGCATAGTAAACAAGAAATTGTGCAATTTTTGTTTTAGCATCTTATTGCTTGGTATTGAAGTGCTTGAAGTATTATCTGACCATGGCTGTCTCGCTTGTATTAAAAGATTTGAGAATAAGTTGCTCTATAATTGCTGATCCTATGAGAATGTGAAACTGGATAATATATGAAATGCAACCAAAAAAAAATATATATACCCAGAGGCTGCTGTGACTTTTTCTGTGGTCTTGGGTGTTTTCTTGTGGGAATGGTGAGGGTTGCTTCAGGCCTGGCCTGCTCCCGTTTCCCAGGCTGGAAGGATGCGGGCTGGTTTGGGATGCAGCTGAGGACCAGGAGCTGGGATCTTCCCGATCCTGCTGGGAGAAGGGCAAGCCCTCGCCTGGATGGGCATGTGCTGTGGGGGGTTGGTGGTGTGAAGCTCTGCGGAGGCCTCTGCGAGGGCAGCCCTGAGCTCTTCTGGCTGTTTTTGTTCCCCCTCCCAGCGCCTGTGGAGGCTGAGGCCTCTCCTCCGTGCCAGCAGCTCAGAAGGAGATCTCCATAGAAGGCAAACGTTCTCCATGGCTGGAGCATTCCCCGTGCGCCTGCCCGCTCCGGCCTTCCTCTGCCTTGGCTGTACCTGCTGAGGCGGCGGTGGGAATGGCAGGCCCGCGCCAGGGGCTGCTCGTCCCGGTGGGAATCTCCGGGCAGGCAGGAGCCAGGGGCTGTTTGTGCCGGTGGGAATCTCCATCCAGGCAGGAGCCGGGGCCTGCTCGTCCCGGTGGGAATCTCCAGGCAGGCAGGAGCCGGGGGCTCTCCCTGCTGCGCCTCACCAGTCCCCATGGCCCGGCTCGCTGACCCCTGCGCTGGGGCTCTCCAGAGCCCTCCCACGCAGCTTCCCGCCCCAGGGATCAGTGTTTTCCTCTCTCCCCAGGCCTTCGAGGGCAGCGCCGAACGAAAGCAAGGGAAAAAAAAAAAAAAAGAAAAAAAGGCAGGTCTAAAAATAGCCGCCCGTGCCTGGGAATGGACTGGAGCAGTGCTGCTGCTCCGGGAAGTGACTCGCTGTGGGGCTGCGGGCTGCCCGCTCCACAGCAGGCCTGCCAGCCCCTTCCCATGGGATATTCCCCCCGCCCGGGCTCTTGCCCGCATCCCGGCTCCCGCCCCAGTCCCAGCTCCAGCGGGCCGGCCCTTCCTTCCCTGCCGGCTCTGCCCGCATCTCGCAGCTCTGCTCACCTGAGCGGAAACACCGCGCAGAGCAGCGGGGCACGGAGACGGCAGCGTGCAGGGCTTTAAATTATACAGCAGACTTTATCCTGTTCGTGGGTTTTTTTCTTTTCTTTTTCTTTTTTTTAAGCCTTTAGCACATGCATTAACATGGCCAGGCCATGAATAATTTACGCCCGGCTCTAGGAAGCTTTTACAGCGGGACTCGCTCGCCTCGCAGCTAAAGTAGGTCACGTCTGCTCCGAGGGTCCCCGCGCGTCCCTTCCCCGTGCGGACACGCGTGTGCCCTGCCCCGCCTGCTCCCCATGGGTCCTGCTCAAAAACACGCCCTGGGAGGTGGTCTGGGGACACGGGGTGTCCCCAAAACATCCACATCACCAGACAGGACGAAGCTCGAGGTGCAGGGAAGCTCTGGGTGGGGTGTGAGCTGTTGGCATCACCAGGGAAAGGATGCAGGTCCGTGGCTCCTTTTGTCCTTGTGCTGCCTGAGCGTGTTGGCCAATAGCCAAAGGACAAACCTGCCAGGGAATAGAGAAGATGACACTGAGGCTGGAAAAAATATAGGGGGAAAAGGCTGCTTTTGTCATGCTTTTGTTTTACCCTTTACTGGAAACTCATATTTTCCTTGTTTTGAAGGTGGGACAAAAGATAAATCGTGGAGCTTTTGGACTCTCTTCTCCTGAGCATGCTGTGCTCTGCCACAGTGTGTGGTCTGGGCACTGAGGCAAGGAACACTTTGGGAATAGAAAATCCAGCTGTTGTGGTGCAAAAGGGCCTCTCAGCATGGCTGTGCTGGATAAGCTGCTCCCGTTGGAGGTGATCAGACAGCCAGGGAGGCAGATCCAAAACTCTGTCCCTGCTGCAACCAGAGAGGGAGGAAGGGGTTCAGGTCATCTCACACCAGCACTCACCAGCCATGTGCTGGTCACAGGAGCTCCTGTCTCTGAGGCAGGGGCATCCCACAGCGCTGATGCTCCCTCGTGTCCCACACACCTCTGCTGATGGTTAAGGGTCCCCAGATGCAGCTCAGTCATGTCAGTGCCTTTCACCCATTTCTCTGGAAAATGTGATGAACAACTCAAAGGCTTTTGTAAAGGATCAAATCCCTGCAATTCCCATCTGCTGGTCTGTGCCAGCCCTGCTGCCACTGTCCCCTTTCCTGTCCTGTCTCAGGCCGAAGCCTGTCATGGCTGGAGATCATTCTGGACATCACCGATGACCTGCCTGTTGTTTGTCCATCAGGCAGAGAACAACGGCCACAGCTGTGGGGAAATGTCTCAGAGCCCCAGCTCCATCCTGCAGCAGGATTTAGCAGCTACTGCTCCCTGCTGATTTCTATGAATCATAGAATCACAGAAGTTTTAAGGCTGGAAAAGCCCTCTAAGACCATTGAGTATATCCATTCCCCAGCACTGCCACCACTAAGCCAACATTCCCAATCAACACATCTTTCAACGTTTCCAGGGATGGTGACTCCACTCCTCCCTGGGCAGTCCCTTACAATGCCTGATCACCCCTTCAGGGAACAAATTTTCCTCAACACTCAGCCTAAACCTCCCCTGGAACAACTTGGGGCCTTTTCCTCTCATCCTGTCCCTGTTCCCTGGAAGCAGAGTCCACTTTCCCCCAGCTGTCCCCTCCTGTCAGGGAGTTGTGCAGAGCCAGAAAGTCCCCCCTGAGCCTCCTTTTCTCCAGGCTGAACTCCCCCAGCTTCCTCAGCTGCTCCTGGTGCTCCAGCCCCTTCCCCAGCTCCATTCCTTTCCCTGGACACGCTCCAGCCCCTCAATGTCAGGAAGAGCCCAAAGCTGTGGATTTGATCTGTGGCAAGAAGCTGCATCTCATGCAAGGTTGCTGGGATTCCCCAGGCTTGTCCACCCCTGAGATGGTGAGGAGCAGTCTCTGTGGTCAGGGAGCACCACACATCTGTGGGGCAGATAAAATGACTGTCTGAGATGTACAGTGTTGGATGAACTCGGTAGCACCTCTGGAAGAGGCAGGCTGGGCTGGCAGGTGTACAAGCAGGCTCAGCCAGGCCTGAAATATCACCAGGAGGGAGGGAAGAGGTTGGGAATGATGGACAGCAAGCCGGGAGGAGACAGTGTTCTGGCTGCCTCACGATTCCTTGTGGCACAGTGCCCCCTCTCAGGAGTTCTGCTTGGATATCGCCACACTCACAGCTCCAAAAATGCCTCTGCTCTCCCCCTGCCAAACATCTCTTGTTGAATTATCCCCCAACCCAGCAACAAGTCTGTAGAGACTTGGAATTGGCATCCTAACACCTGTGGAAAGACACAGGTGATAAACAACGGATACCACAGGGATCATGTAACAAAATACACCCCAAAAATAACTGTTAGGGAAAGGTGAGGGGGGACAGTTCCCACCCCCAAAGGGATGGGGGACATCCCAGAGAGGCTATGGGACTCAAGGTGTTGCGGCGATGGGATCCTGAGGGTCATTAATTACAGCAGGTAACTCCATCGCGTTTAAAAAGCCCGTGGTTTTGGGTCAGCTCCACAAAGAACAAAAGCTGCTCCGAGCCAGGCAGGCTTTAACGGCGCTGTTATTTGGGATGTGGGATGAGAAATGCGCTCCCGGTCGGCGCTGTCACGACATGGAGAGTTTAGCAGGAAAGCCAGAAGGTGGCATCCGAGACCTGAGCACAGCAAACCGCAGCACTCCTCCGGCAGGGCTGGCAGCGATTCCAGCTCGGGACAGCGGAGCAAACACGCGTGCATTCTGTGCATTCTGTCCTGCACCTTCTCCTCCTCCTCGGGATGGGCACAGAGGACATGCTTTATGCAAAGAACCTCTATATTAAGTTCATAAAGGAAAATACTTTCTGGTTTTCTGGTCAGCTACAGAGTTGTTATCAAAAATACACTGAATTTGAGCTGGGATGGGATGGGATGGGATGGGATGGGGGGGTGTTGCTTCATATTCCAAGCGGGCTGAGGTGGGACATCACCACTCAGGCCGGTCCTGGCTTGTCCAGCTGAGCCTGGGAATCCCCCTGAGGCTGAGCTGTCGCTGTTCTGAGTGCCTCTCCTATGCATAGCTCCTGGTATTACTCATTTAACTCAAAAAGAAGAAGTGTGATGCCTTCTGGGATGACACAGCCATGACACACTCGGCTCTCTCTCCACACGGGGAGTGGGAGCCACCCCCGCGGGGCTCCGGGCAACCTGCGCAGCTCCCTTGGCCAGTGAGCCTGAGATGAGTGAGCGAGCTCCTCCCTGGGCAGGAGCAGCACTGCCAGCCCTCGGTGTGCCGGCACAGACGGCAGATGGCACTGGGAGACTGGCACGGGACAAGCCGGCATGCCTGAAGGGAGAAGAGGACACTTGGTGCCTTCTTGCATCTTGCTGTTTAATGCTAAATTCAATATGTCTCCTATTCTTTAAAGCTTATAAACTGGTGTTGCGCATATTCACATATCTAAAAGGGTTCTAGTCTGCATGGTTGAGACATCATGGTAATTTATGGAAAAGTTGAACTAGCATCAAAAGCAAATTCAAAGCTTAGTCACTTATAAACATTTCAGGACCGGACATCTCCAACAGGTATTCACATCATCTTAAAAGTGTCACCATTTCTTGTTTAAAATTCTCTTGTCAGGAGAATGAGAAAGCGACAACATCAAAACCAGAAGAAGTTGTTTCAAACATTTTCTGAAGGGGTTCAAATTCCTCTCCTCCACTCTGCCAGAATTTTAACTTTCAATCTGTTCTTGGTGGAATCTGTCTCTGTCACTTATTCTGATTTAAAGAAATTTTATTGTATCAAAATTCAGTTCAGGCTGCAGGTCTCAGCCCAGCGCAGGCAGGAGACCAAGAACCAGCTGCAGCAACCTCTGGGACAGGGCAACACCAGCTCCTGATAAGAACCTGGGAGGATCTCCAAATACACCCAAAATGTCCTGCTCTCTTGGTCTGGGGTGCTCAGCACAGGAGAAATCCCAGCTTTTCCCTGGGATGCTGATGGGTTGGAGTCTCTGATGTGTTTGTCTACTA